CTCTCTCTCTGTGTGTGTGTGTGTGTGTGTGTGTGTGTGTTTCCCTTACTGCCTCAGTTGAGTCAATCCCTTGAGCCATGTTAGGTATATCAGGGTATCCCCGGGTCACAGGCCATGACATCTTACACAAGAACCAATCACAAATCAGGCAGCAGATATGTGGTCACTGGTGGTCATATTGTGCTCCTTTTGACCTCCATAGGTGCTTCATCTTGCTGAGACTCTGGAAACTAGTTCATCATGCAGTCTGCCACATCCAAGAAGCCTGTGAGGGAACACACCAGGCCTGTGGCAGACTGTCATCTCCACCAGGGTCATTTTATGAGTCTACATCAACACTTTTAACTGCTGCTGCTGCCTCAGGATACATCTGGCTTCTCAGCTGCATCTTAAAAGGTGTTGAGTTAGGGTATGGCAAGAATTGGACTCTTTTTGATCAGAACAACTCTCGATCGATATTCTTGAAGAGGAGGGGAGGGATTTGAGAGCACTTATCAGCTACTTTTCTGTCTCCATGATAAAATACCACAGTTAACAAGCAACATATGAATGAGAGCAATCATTTGGGTAGATGGTTCTGGAGAACTGAGAGTCTGTTATAGCGGGAAGGCATAGCAGCAAGCAGATGACTGGGGTAGGAACAGGAAGCCTAGGGATCACATCTCAGCTGTGCACACTCAGAAACCAGAGAGGGCAAACTGGAAATGAGGTAAGGTTATAAACTCTCAAAGCCTGTGCCTAGTGATATACTTCCTCCAGCAAGGCTCTGAGCTCTTAAAGTTGTATAACCTCCCCCAAACAGTGCTACCAGCTGGGGACCAAGTAGAGGCGACTCTAGACAGTATTTCTTTTTCAAAGTAACATGCTGTCTTCAGGAGACTGAAGGTTGGTTTCCATCACTTACAGGTTAGGGGCCCCTGTGAGCTAAGGAGAAGCAAAACACAGGACAGCCTTGGAGGTTGTTCAGTGTCCTTGGATATGTGTGCAACTTCAGTATATCTTTCCTGGAACTCCTTTTCTTTCTCTTCATCTTCCATTCTAGCTTTTTAGGCCTCACTGGCCATTAGCCTAAATACCCACCAGGATGAAGTTTCCCTATAAGGAGAAGAGCATAAATATGTAAAAGACTTTGCTGTATTATATTTCTCTCTCTGCCATAAGAAAAAAAGTCCCAGAGACCGTAGAGTGTTCTGTATCTCTGACCAGAATGTCTGTAACACCGTGACAAGATGCTCATTACTGCTTCTAACTACAGTTTCAGGGTCTTCCATGCCCTCCATGGGCACATGGCCATACACACACACACACGCACACGCACACACACAGAGACACAGACATATGCACATAAAAAAAAATCATTTTAGAAACAACATTTCAGAATAGCAATGAGGTACAGAGGACCACGAATCCTGTTCTAAAACTTCAAGTGGGTGAGGGAAGCTGAAGGTTTCTCAGTCCACACTGGGCTCGCTGGATCCCTTTCTCAACAGAGGCCAACGTAATCTCAGGACAGCAGAATCCAAGAGATGCACCCCTCCCTCCCACATATCCCACCTAACACAGAGTAAAATTCCAGCTCTGCTCCAAGTATGGAGCAGCTAGCCCAGTCCTGTCCATCTTGGCACCTCACCTCTTCTACTCTGACCATGTTAGGTTTTCTTGTGCTTCTAGCCCAAGTAACTCTGTATCTACATGTGTTCATTTCTGAAAGGAAGCATGTATACTTTCCAACGCCTGTTCTATTTTACTTCATGCAGTAGGTCCATGGAAAATAGGTTTTCTGGTCTCCTGTTTCTTGTTAGTGTATTACTTCAAGAGAGATAGCACCGATAGAATAAATATATGTTAAAAAGTGATGTGCTTGATTACTTTACGGGTTATGTATAGCACACATTGGGTAGTCCAGCAATGGCTGTCGGCACATTGGGGAATCAGAGACACTGTGGCTGCTCATTCCATGAAGCTGGTTAGCTCAGCAATCCTAATGTGGTTGAAGGCCTGAAGTTGCTGGACAGCCACTGGTTCTCGGTCAATCTCAGAAGGCTGAACTATTATAGGTTTTACTGTCAGTAGAAAGCCAGCAACAGGACAGACACACTTGCCAGAAAAGGGCAGAGCAGACAGACACAATAAAACAGCTTTTCTCTCTAGCATTTTATGTTTGGCCAGCCAAGGGTAAGGTCTTCTCCATTCTATTAATCCTTCCAAGTGAGACCCCAGAGACTTGTCTAGAGACATGGCTCTCAGTTGGTTCCTGATCTAATCAAGTTGACAGTCATGGTTACTCATCACAGTTAGCCATGTAACCAGAGGCCTAGGCCCCTTATAAAGGCAAATAAAATTGGCCTTTGCCTGTGGACTGGTAGAGTTTACAGGCCGTGCTACTCGCTTTTTTTTTATTTAACTTTCTATTGATTCGTTGTGAATTTCATATCATGCCTTCCAGTCCCACTCACCTCCCGTGACCTTGTATCTGCCCTTGCAACCTCCCCCATAAAAGAAAATATAAAGCAAATAAACAAACAAAAAGTACAAAATAAAAAATAGAAAACATCTCAGCATGGAAACTGTAGTGTATCACGGTGTGTCCTATAGTATGTCCATGTCCCTCTGTCCACACATCTTTACTTGCAAATGTTCTTTGCAATGAGTTCTCTGGTTTCAAGGTCTGGTTTGACGTTTCTGGCTTCTGTGACACCATCAATATTGGATCCTTACTGTGACTCCTCCAGGTTATCCTGTTGTTGCCCTGTGCCATGGAAATCCTGCTGCTTTGATCAGTAGCACCGGTCCTTTCATGCATCCCAACAGTTCACAGATGGTGTAGATTTTGGGGTGGTCTAACTCAAAGTCCTGGATCTGGGCCTGTGTGGTAGCTGAGCTGATCAGCTGGCTGGCTGTCCCACATCAGCACCACCAGGGTGAGCTCTCTAACCCTGCACTGGCTAACCCACCCAATGTGGCCACTGGTAGTAGGCAGGGTCAGCTCTTCCACTCTAGTGCTTTCGCTCTCGAGGCTGGCTCACTCACACTCATGCTTCCAGTACTAGCTCTATTGTGCACAGGGCCCACTCTCCCAGGTGCTGTAGCCAGTGAGGGGCGGGGCCAACTACGGGGTGGGGCCAGAAAGGGGGCGGGGGCATAAGGGGGCGAGGCCAGCTATGCTGTTCTCACACACCCTCCGTGCTGGCTCACCCATGCTCCCTCCATCAGAGCCAGATCTCCTGTGCTGCCCAGGTGAGGTGCAGGACCTGCTATCGGAGTGCTGTAGCCAGTGAAAGTCAGGGGCAGCTCATCCATTCTATGACCCCAGCTCCCAGTCTCCTGATGCTGTAGGTAGTGAGAGGCAAGGGTAGTGAGGGCATCACCTCTTCACCTGTGCCACCTTGTGGCAAATGAGTGGCAGGGTCAGCTCTCCCATGCTCACACCCTTGGGCGGCTCATCTATGCCCGTGCCATGAGGGTCAGCTCCACTGTACTGGGTGAGGTGCAGGGCCCCCTCTCTCAAATGTTGCCACCAATGAAATGTGGAGCCAGCTCTCCGGAGTGTCACAGCCAGTGAGGGGCGGGACCAGTTCTGTGCAGCCCTTGGACATCTACATGGTCCCAGGTGGCTGCCCAGACCAGGGACATCCCCATGGTCTCTAGTCACAGACCCCTGCCGCTGTGTGGCCATAGACCCAGACATGGCTCTCAGTGGCAGCATGGGCTGGGACTTCACCGGGGCCTCAGGTGCCAGGGCTGGCTACTCATAAGAGGCCTTTCCTCTCTACTTTAAGTGTCTGGTTCCGTCTCTCTTCAAAATGCTCAAACTGTTCCCCGTGTCCGCATCTCTTTCTCTCCCATCTGTCCACCACATACTTGCACGTTGTAGTGGCTCTGGCTGCAGGTGGGCCATGAGGCTGGCAGACCTCTGGATGACCTCCTCTGCCTATGCCAAGGGGCATGGTGGCTGGCAGGCCTCTGGGTGACTACAGTCTGCCTGTCTTGCTTCTTGCATTTACAAAAGCAACCTTCTCCTGACCCTGTGGGTGTTGGTCTTAGGTCCAGCACAAGGCTCAGCCAGGTGGGTGCTGGGGATGGAGAGAAGGAGACCCAGTCTCTGCCCTTCTGGAACTTACATAGGAAAGAAGAGACTGCTAAAAGGCGATGCACACAAGTAATTGTTTTGAATCTCCTTTTATCCCTCCACTTGAATCCTTGCCTAGTCATCTGGACACTCCCTCTGTGGGGCTCTTCTCAGGCCTACTTTCTCCTAATAGAACACAATGCTTTAGCTTTACCCCACGGCTACCAGCAAGGTAGCCTAGATCTGGGTGCCCTGCCCAGAGAATAGAGTGAATGAAAATGAGGGCACTGATTGAGTCAGCAACCAGAGATGGATGGTTGGACTTGGTAGAGGAGGGAAAAGTGGCTGAAGAGACAGACTATAGAATTTGGAGTCAAATGAAGTGCGTGGAAGAAGCCAATAGAAACAAACGGTCCATACATACCGTAGGATAGTCAAGCCAGCAGCTTGGTTCAGAGAGGCAGAGTCCCTTGGAAGGGAGCTCACGTATGCCTCTCCAGGCTTTCAACACCACATGAATGAAATGGGACATGACCTCTCATTTTTTTCTTTTTTTTGTGGTTGTTTTTAATATATATATATATATATATATATATATAAATAAATATATATATGTTTTCAATATATAGTGATCCTAAATAAGTAGATGAATATAAAGATAAATATGGATTTAAAGTTATATATATATATGACTATGCTCACAGTTACTCTGTAGTTTGTTTGTTTGTTTTTTACTTATTCAGTTTACGTCCCACTCACTGCAGACAGATATGGAACGCTTCGGGAATTTGCGTGTCATCTTAGGGCAGGGGCCCTGCTGATCTTCTCTGTACAGCTCCAGTTTTAGTATGTGTGCTGCCGAAGCGAGCACATGACCACTCTTAAGTACAGCTCGGGAGAAGGTTTTTATTGTACGTATGAGTTCAGCCAGAGGCATCTGGAAGAGTCCAGACTGACCATGGCCAGCAGACTGAACTAGATCAGGAAAGGAGGGAGGGGGAGTGAGAGAGGAAGAGAAGAGAGAGGGAGCAAAGAAAGGGACCACAGGAGGGAGAAGAAACAAGAAAGCATGTGGCCGGAATGGCAGGTTTTTGTAGGAATCAGAAGTTGGGGGGATAGAAGCAAAGCCCCTGCTGAAGGGGTTTAGGGTAGGGGGCGGGGTGAGAAGAACAGAGAGGAGGCCTAGGCATTGAGTGAACCTAGTGGCCTGTGTGTGCTCTGGGATGCTAACAAGCATCTCAGTTAGACATTGGTCCCAGGTTTCTTTGTGACCTGACATAAGGACCTGAGAGATGACTTAACTTCTCGATATGTTCCCAGCTGTTGCTGGCTGATCGCAGCTCAATCATTTAGCCTCTTAAATCACCTCAGTGAAGTAAGCATGATGAAAAGACATTGATATAGAAATTAGAACACAGGGATTGGCTAAGAACTAAATGATGGGGTGTTTGTCCAGCATGCCTGAGGCCTTAGGTTCAATTCTCAGAGCCACCAAAAAAAAAAAAAAAAGAAAAAAAGAAAAAAAGAAAAGAAAAGAAAGAAAGAAAGAAAAGAAAAAAAGTTAGAAATTGTAAAGTTTGGGTTCTACCTCCTAAATCTACTCTATCAACTGAGGGACTTTGAACAAACTGCTTACCCTTGTCAGAAGACGGAGACAGTAGCAGCTTATGTACTGTTACAGCAGTTGCCTCTGAATGAAAACATTTGCTCCCCAAGGGAGGGGGCAGCTCCCAAGACTCAGGTAGTAAACAGAATGTCACATGACTGGGGAAAGCAATATGGCTGCTGGCGTGGCAGCCTGTGTCTATACCTCTAGCTTTGGATAGAGACTGGTAATATCCCTGAAGCTCATTTGCCAGCCAGTGTAGCCCAATTGATGAAGTTCAGTTCAGCAAGAGACCATGCCTCAAAAATAATTGTGGAGTGTAATAAAGGAAGAGAAGGATGAAGGAGGCCGACTTTAGGTCTGCACATGCATGTGCACACACACGATCCATTCACCACACAAGCACACACATGCACTAAAGATCAGTGAGACCCATGATCCAATGCCAAGAAAGGAGGAGGGTTGTGGGAAGCAGGCTGAAGAGAATTTTGAGGGGCCTCAGGCAGAGAAGATATACTAATTCTTTTTTGACGATTTATGTATTTATTTATACTGCCGATCTCTTCAGACGCACCAGAAGAGGGCATTCCCCAACAGAAGCAGATTCCACTCTAGATGGTTGTGAGCTGCCCTGTGGTTGCTGGGGGTTGAACTCAGGACCTCTGGAAAAGCAGTCAGTGCTCTTAACTGCTGAGCCATCTCTCCAGTCCTGAGAAGATATACTTTTATCACTACACACTATGTAGGGAGAAACTGACCTCAACCAGTCACCACATGGCTACATACATGGACTGTACACATGCAGACACGGGCACACAGATAGACCTAAACACAGAGGTGGGCACACAAGCCTACAGACTGACAAACACGGGCTTGTCAGGCTTTATGGCTGAGTACATCGAATGCCAAGAATAGAAGGCTGCGAGGGCTCATTTATATTTAGATATCATAGCGCTGATATGGATATCCAGTATGAGTCACTTATAAACGACGGACACTGGACATGCAGGAGACTATGAGTCAGCACCAAATGGCTGACACAGGATGTTCAAGGACTCCCAAAGTGAGGGGTGATGTAATTGGTTGTGTAGCTATTTTTCGGCACAGCATTACTTCTGTAGGAGTCTATCGAAGATGGCCTTGATGTTGGAGGCCCGAGTCTTTGCCTCCGTCAGCCTGCCCATGTGTTTGTCTGTGGGTGTGTGTGCCAGTCTGGGTATGTGCCTGTGTATGGTTGTATATAGCCTGTGTGCACCTGGGTTCCTGACAGGGCCTGCCTGTCTAGTAGCCTGTGTCCTGGTGCATAAAATGTGTCTTATCTACTTGGAGTTGAACCCTCCGCCTCGTCAACCTCCCAGCTTCCCATGACCCTCCTTCTTTTCTGGCATTAAAGCATGGACCCCACACTCTGTCAGTGTGCAGGGAGAGCTCTGTAGCATGGAAAGAGACTCTGGTTTCTGATCCAAGCCTTTGGTAGGGAGATAGCGTCTGTAGGCTTCTTCCTTGTGACTGTCTGGGAGCCGGGTGGGGGTAGACCAGGTTAGCAGGTCATTCTGATTCCCTGGGCCCCACTGGTTTCCTGATATGACCCAGCTATGGGGATAATTAATAATAAGTAGCTGTCCTCCCGAGAGCAGATATGACTGTGAGCAAGATGTTTTCATGAAGCTTTCTGAACATAGTATTTATGGACTCCAGTTATTGGGACATTTATAGATTGGAGGCGAAATGTAAAACATATGGTGCGCTCTTCCAGGAACACATTCAATCCAGCTGCCGCCCACAGCCGCGCTGCCGCCCACAGCTGCGCTGCTCTTTCCTCTGAATGCTCTTCAGAACATTTGTGGGGGTGGGGCCCCTCCCACTCTCAGGAAAAAGGTGAACAAGTGTCTCTTCGGGTAAAAGGCTGGTTCCTTTTGGCTAACATTACCCTGTCTCTCAAGGTTAACACTACCAGGGCCCGTCACAGAGTGTTCCACAGGGAAAGCACGGCTGGATTTTTCCCCTTTTCTTGTTCCTTCTTGACATGTGAAAATGATTGCATGTGGCCGGAAACTGAGGACAGACTTAAGCACCATTTGAAGTAGTGTCCCTCGTGGTCAGGATCTGGCTGTATGATTTCAGGTTCTTGGCCTCTTATCCAAGGAACTGAAAATCACCACTCATACAGATTTGCAAATGAAGCCAGAATGCTTTATGGGAGCAAATCCATAGCGGGGATTGTAGAGGAAGACATTGCCAGCTTGACAGTGGGTCATACTAGTGAGGCTATGTAAGGGTCCCAGGCTGCAGCTTGGGGTCTCCTTTTATAGGGTTCAAGGGAAGGAGGAGCTGGTTACTACTGGAAGTAGTTTGAATGGTTCTCTACTTTGATTGATAGATTAGATCATACATTCATTTTTCCTACGTAGCATGGCCCCTTCCCATAGTACAGTGGTTCTCAACCTTCCTAATGCCGTGACACTTTAATACGGCTCCTCGTGCTGTGGTGATCCCCCAACCATAAGATTATTTCATTGCTGCTTCCTAACTAATTTTGCTACTGTTGTGGATTGTAATGTAAATATCTGATATTTCCAGTGGTCTTAGGTGACCCCTGTGAAAGTGTCATTATATTCCCAAAGGAGTTGCGACCGTCAGGTTGAGGACCACTGCCCTACAGCATCTAATTTTAAGCGTACGGATGCCTACTTGTAAAGCTGGTCAATGGGGGGAGGTCTCCCTAAAAGATCACAAGAGGTAGTTTTATATTACTATACAAGCATCTAATACCAGTTCAGGCAGAACGGGTGCCTCTTTTCTTCATAACATGATACACTGAGAAGACAGGAGCAGAAACTGTCTGAATTTGGTTGCTACCAGGGAAGCTTATATCTCTGTTCAAAAATAGAAGTATGTGAAGCCCAGGGCAGGGAGGGTAAGGCAGGGTGGGATGAGGGGGGGTGGGGATAGGTGGGGAGGGGTGAGGGAAGTTCTGAGGTTTCTAGTGCATTATCTAGAGAAAGGTTATAATATCTATTATGTGTTGAAGGAACTGGGTACCAATATATAATTATTATAAGAGTTAAGGGGTACATAACGCCAAACCAAATGTGTGGGTTCTGGAGATCCTAACCTGTCTCCTATGCTTGCCTAGCATGACCCTTCCCTTGCTTGCTTGTGTGGGTCAGAGCTGCCCAAGCCTGGGGTCTGCTCTGCATACCTCTCTTGAGCTACCAATGTCTCTAGGAAATGTGTTCGTCTCAGTTTCTTTTCCTGTTGCTGTGACAAAGTTCACTGTCAAAAGGCACTGGAGGGAGAAGAAAAACTATTTCAGCTCACAGTTCAAGGATGTCATCATGGTGGGCAAGTTCAGGCAGCAGGAGCTTGAAGCAGTTAGCCACAATCAGAAAACAGTGCTGTAACTGCCCAAGTTCCCTGAAATAATGACTCTGAGACTTCTTATGTATGAATAAATGCCTAGGCCAATAGCTTTGGCTCATTTTTGCAAGCTCATAACTCAATGAGCTTGTTTAAACTAAGTCATACCATGTGGCTAATTATGTCTCTTTCACATGACAGTCTTCCTCAGAGTTCAGAGTGAATCTTTCCAATGCCTGACTCAGTCCCAGAATTCCAATGTTCCGATTTCTAATCCTGCTTCAGCTCACTGGCCAATCAGCTTTTTATTGACAGGTGATGTTTCCATCCTGCATACAAGAGATTCCCTCTATACAGAGCAATGAATGGCACTGCCTTCAGCTTGTGTCCTCCTTAATCGGTCCAGGTATCAACCTTATCAACATAGGCTAAACAACCACCACTGGCATGCCTTACAAGCTTGTCTCATAAGTGACTTTCAAACCCGTTCGGCTGGCAACTAACACTACCCATCAGAGTGTTCTTGGTCTAGGATAGCCCCTACTTGGGAGCAGGCATTCAGAACCAACAACACCCTGTATACATTACATATTGTCCTGCAACAAAGTCACAATGTACATACATTCTGAAGCTCAACGCAAGTCAATGAGCTGCAGTAGGTGTGAAGTCCCAGCCAACCAAAAGCAGGTCATCTGCTGCAGTGGAGAAGGCCATGGTGGGACCCCTGTTGCCTAAGGCTTTTCCAGATTAGATGGGTAATAATCATATGTTCTCTTATTTAAACAGGAACGCCAAAAGCCCTTAAGGTTTTACAAAAATGGAAATAAAACATTAAAAAGAAGCCATTTGGAATGTTTGCAATGTCGTCATTTCAGCTTCTCGTTATCTTTCCATATCCCTGGGGA